CAGTTTGACGCTATTCACTTGGTCTTCAACAAGTTCCAGACTGTGGTTTCTTACTTGCCAACTGTTGCAACTATCTTGTCTCCAGAGGTACTTTATACTCTAACTACGCAATGAACTTTCTTGGCATGATGGGAACTGGGATTAAGTAGTTAGCCGTTATGCTCCTTCTTTTATGTATTTTATTTATGTAAAGCTCACCTCCTACCTTCTCCTAGTTGTATGAAATTTGAATGTTTTTTCCGCTGCAGACAATGGCCAACGGTGTAGAGACAGGAAAAATGAGTGACTTGAGCAATTATGAAATCGAAGGTTCCGAAACGCAAGCTGAAGTTTTGCAGAATTTGAGCGAGTTCCAGTTTGCCTCGGTAGGTGAAACGAAATAGAAGGAATTGAATTTCTTTTGACTTCGTGTTGTGTAACCCGTTCAAGGCCTACCTCTTGTCATACTGTCTAGTTTTCGTTGCCTGCCGTTCGGAGATGCTTCATGTACATTTTTACCTTCAGTGCTTCACGCTGCTTATTTGGGCTAGCTCGCGCTGACGACTTAAAAAGCTGCTTGATGATGCATCTCTTTATTATGTTTGTTTGCTTTTTATGACGTGTACATGCATTTCTCCTTTCTTTCTAAAACTAGCCATTTCCACTAATAGTGCAACTTTCTATCACGTTTTGTTTATAAGGTTCTCTGGCTGTCTATGGTACCATGTCAGCTGACTATATCACGGATATCTCCTTCATTGTGTGATCTGTGTTGTGTTGAGAGTGGCAAAATCACAACCTCCATCATGGTGTGCAGGTAGTGACATTTTAAGATACGCTCTTGCTGTGCAGGTTTTGTACAACGCAATGTTGGAAAACGCTTGCAGTGAGATGGGAGCCCGTATGTCTGCCATGGACAACTCAGCCAAGAATGCTAGTGACATGTTGGACCGCTTGACGCTCAGCTACAACAGGTTAGTTTCGCAATGTTTCTCCTCGAGTCGGTTTTGGTGTAACTTACTGAAATTGCTTATCATCCGGAGTAAGTGTACCAACTGATCATCTTGTTCGGTCTGCAGATCACGACAAGCACAAATTACCACGGAACTTATCGAGATTATTTCTGGAGCGGCTGCTCTGGAAGCATCTTAAGCCAAAACAAATTTATGGCTTGCTTACGATTAGATGTTAACATTTTTCTGACTCGATTTGATGAGGCCATGAGTTTCGTGGCAAGAGAACCCGAGGAGGCTCATTTGTGGACTCATATACGTTCACCGTGCGACCTTGCAGCTCAAGGGGTTTGAGTTGGTCCAGAATAATTGATGGTCAACTTCGCCTCCACTGAAGACATTGTACTTGTGCACAACGTATGCATGGTTCTTTAGCACAAAAAGGCATCCCGAAGTTCTATATCTGGATATCTCACCTTTAAGTGGTGTATGAGTTTTGAATTGCACATAGAGAGAAAACGGTGCTGTACGATCCATTTCTTAAAGGTCTGGGTCCCTTGCTCTTGTCGCTTAATGATAAGGAAGTAAGCTCACTACTCAAGTTTTGGGGGAGCTTCAAGCCATAGGTCAATATCAAATTGAGTTAGGAGTCTTTTTTTTTCTGTTCAAAATGGAATGGACCACTATGAATAAAGACACCTTCCTCTTTGTCTCCATTCATCTTTCTTCTACTCTCCCGAAGACAGTCCGGTTTGTCAATGGCTCGAGGTATATGTACGTTGACTGGCCGTCAAGAGATACTTATGTTTCAGTTTGAGCTGGTTTGGTGGGGCCTATATCCTGTTACTTCGTCATCCTGGGTATCACTGCCTTTCTATCCTTCGATTGCAGCCCAATCTTCACTTAACCAGTATTTCAGACGAACGTTACAAAGTGCTCGCAAGACAAAAACTAGTTTCCCTGTCCATGGGTTTGTTCATGCAAGGCAAGGAATGATTTCTAAGGTCTGAGTCAATTTTTTTTCGGCAAGGAAGCGACTAGTCAACCTACCTATCCGTTTCGTGTATAATATCTAACGTCAGCTGGCCGATCAAGGAAAGACCATGAATGTCATGAATGTGGTCGCAGCTTTGAGTTATGCGTCAGTGAGTGATTCAAGAGCAAGATAGTAGGAATTTGAGCAATGCGTGAGCGTGGTTATTGCGATAAACGACCTGGAAGGGCAGAACAGTACGTGCATCACAGTTCGAACGCAGTGCATGTTGTATCGCGGTTTACTAACCGAGAGCAAATGTGTAAGAATTAGTCCTTTGGTGCCCTGAATGGGAGATTCGAGATCGGGCATCATCTTGGTTGACAACGAACAGTCACCAGTATGATACAGTTGCTGCAGACGAAACTACCAATTGTGCTAACAGTAGGAACGGTCAGACGTTGATATATGATAGTCCCCCGTTTGTCATTCTAATATGACGACTGAAACTAGCAGAAAGTCCTGACCCGTTGTAAAGTTGGTTGGCCAAAGCTCAGGGCAACAATCATTCGTGTTCTGCAGCTAGCTTACTGTTGTCGTCTAATCATGCTAAGCAACCAAGTCTGCGATCCATCGTCCGATGGATGGCAGACCGAAGACGTAGATACACCTGCAAACTCAGTTGCTTGGAAATCCAGTTATCTAGTTCAGTGGGATCGTTGGTGGCATCATCAATACATCAACCAAATTTTGTCCATTCTGTTTCAAAAATTGGGGATAATTTGAGTTTATCCACTAGTGTATTAGAATTATATCAAAGTCCATTTGTGTGTTACATTTCTACGATTCCATTTCACAAAGTTCGATGAAAAGGGTTATGTATGCTAGTTTTCTACTCTTAGTATTATTATTTTTCAGATCCCCATATCTTTCTATGACTACCTTTGTACTCACTAGTAGGAAGGTTGAAGACATGAAGACATGAGTCCTTTATCTTTGTTTCAATGATATCTGTTGCCTACACCTCGATTGGATAGTAATGCAGGAATGTTGAAAGAATGCTTTTGTAGTGTTTTATTTTTTTGATTTTGGCAAGTCTGATACCTACCATAGAGAAATTATATTGTTTAGATTAATGACTGCCAAAACGTTAAGGGGATACCAAAATGTGTTATTTTCTTGCTATTACACATGTAAAGCTCATCTGGAGATCCACATCCAAGCGCATGGTTTTTCTTCACAGAAGTTGTAGTCTCGATGAGCTAAATAACAAAGTTTCTATCACTCTGTAATTCAATTGGCTCATATTGGACTTAAAGTCATATTAGTTAAATTTTAGATCTATAATTGCCCTCACTCTCGATATCATGATTTAACAAGATGTTGTGATGCTTATGATAGATTTCAGATTTTGCGGTGCAAGCGAGTTTCATGTACTGCTTCATATGATCTTGTACATAATACTTTGATGTAGATTCTTTTGCAAATGGAAAACCAATCACAGGTAAAGTATATAAAGTGACAAGATTCATCTTACCCACCGGTTTCTCACAACATCGTTAGAATTGCACTTGGGGAATGCTTTTTTCTCAATTCTTCGTGTCTCAAATGAAGAATTGAGATTTTGGAAGGAAAATGATGCTGTGTGCGATGCCATTGTGGATCATGGGTTATAGAAGTCATTGGAGGTTTCTTTGGCTACTCAATTTGCCAAAGTCAAATGTGGAAATTTTTATTGTTGGCTTCAAGGATCTATAATTCACTGAGATTTGCGCCAAATCAGTTTTCTTTAGGTAATAGGACAGTAGTGCCTCTTATATCGTGTCCTTAATTTTGCATTTGTGATCTTTTACTATGGAAAGAAATTTTTGTTTTGTTTTTTTTAAGATTATTTTGCATGTTGATTATTATTATGGACCTTCAGTACTATAGTTAAGATCTTATAGATCAGAGAACTATAAGAGAGCCATACGATCATTCCTCCACTCTTAGATACAGATAGAGAGCTCAGATATTATATGGTTTTATTGTGTTACACAATGTGCTTTACTCAATCGTTATAGTCATATACTAGGATTGCATCGCGTACTTTGATAGCTAATTTCCAGTTTATTACCTCTTGGCTTGGTATTTACAAACGAGAGATTTTTTTTACTTAAAGCACAGTGGTTTTTTTGATCTCCAATAGGAGGAAATCTTCCGTACTTCATAACTAAAGATTAGATTGTAGTGCCATTAGAATAAATAGAGATGAACCATGGAGAATTTTAGCTCTCTTCAAATATTTTGGCCCATGAGTTGGAATACAATCTTATATTGTGGATGGTTGCTGGTCATGCTTTTTATTCTATGCATGATATTTTGGTATCTGGTTTGGCCCATGAGTTGGAATACAATCTTATATTGTGGATGGTTGCTGGTCATGCTTTTTATTCTATGCATGATATTTTGGTATCTGGTACTGCCAAAAGTGACCAGAATAAAAATTCTTTCCAGAGATTTGTAGTTTGTATGACTGGTGGCAGTTTTGGGCCATGGCCAGTACTGTCGCGAGTGACAGAAATCTCAGACTCGCGCTCTCAACTCAATCTATGTGCTATCTATACTTGTTAGTATGAAGAGCAGATAGAAGCCCCTGAACGAGTCGCATTTCGAAAACTCTTTGATTATAGAACTTCGCCAAATCCATTGATGCAGTAAAGAAGCGTAACTCTTCAATCCTTGGTCGACTCCTTCGTCAAAAGTTTCTCAACACAGGAAGCAACAGTGATTGAATGTGACGGGCAGAAAATACTCATGCCTTCGGTGATACAAGAAACATAAGACAACTCCACACAAGTTCTCAAGTGGGGTTAACGTAAAATTAGAAATCAGAAATTGGAATCTAAAATTGGGTTTAATAAAAGAGATGATTTTTGCATGTTAGAATTACGTACTCTTAGAGTGCGTACAGTTAGTTTAGTATGTCGTGTTATGTTAGCTGTCACTTTATTATAAAGGTGAGGACCTGAGCGAACTAGATTACAATCAGTGCATTTCCAACATTGCGTTCAAAACATTCTAATGCAAATCTAGTGCAGTATTGTTATGACAGTTTTCAAGGTTATAAATGATTTGAAACTCATTCTTCTCATAAAGAAATATTTCTTAGATTTCTAACACGCAATCGCTAATCTAAAGACTGTTATTTTATCTGTTTTCTTCTATTCTTATTGACCTGAGATTATCTAAGCCCGATTTCAAGTTCCTACTGTAGGTTGGCACATAAAATACTATTTTGCAATGTTGTTGGGTGTTGTTTCTCGAAGTGTTGTATGTTCATTTGTTTTGATGCCCGCAACGCTACTGAACTGCTCTATCCTACTAAACATCGAGAGCCCGTCACTACACTTCGAACTCGGATGCATTGTGAAAGAAGCATCTCTCGAAAGACTATACTTATGCACCGCTCAATGACCGGAATGAAAACTTCGAGGTATCCATGTCCTTAGAACAGCAATTTAGCTCCTCAGTGTCCTCCAGTTTTGATTCATTTCCCATAATTCGATATGCTGCTGTCAGAGATAGAAACCTCGCCGTCGCCTGAGCAGTGTCATCTGATGGAACAATTCCAACGACAAATAAAATTCTCTGCCAGCCGTCAGATAGAACAGAGATCCAACGTAAAATCATCCAAAAACAACACAAAATACCACAATCGTCTGTGAAGAGCAAGATTACAATGTAGCATTTAACATATTACTATGTAAAAACGCGCAGCACCAGTGTAGTGTACCGTAAGTAATGCATGTCTTGCGGCCTCTAGCATGCAAGCGAGAGAAGTATTTTATATTAATTATACACGAGTATGAGGCTGCAGTAGCCAAGAGAAGGAATACTTGGGGATAGGTGAACATTCAGAGGGCACGCAAACCTTCGAGAACTTCATCTTGAAGCGGCCAGGGCAGATGAATGGATCGACTATGGAACTGCAGGCAGTTGTCTGCTGTTGGCCATAGCCTCGCCTTGCCTTGTGCATGCGCATTGCCATAACATTGTCTTCTGAAGTTGTTGTCGCTGCCACCGAGTGGGGTTCGGACCTTCGCCACCTTCGACTTCCATTTGGTGCACATGCATGCACTCGTCGGTCACTGGACCAACCGATCTTCAAATCCGGAGTGGATTCAGAGCAGGTGGCCGACAAATATGAATCCGAGCTTCATACAAGATATGTTTCTGACACCATCTCGTGCCACAGGAATGGTTTGCTGGCAACCTCCATGGTCCTGGTGAAAACAACAGCACATGCAAGGTTGCATGTGGCCTTGCCTACACCGACCTCTCATGGTCGGGACAGGTACTTGTCTCATCCGCTGGAATCGATGTTCTTCTTACATTCTTCCTAACCGAGGTTGGTGGATGCTCTTCACGACAAGCTCATGGCAGAGAAGCAAATGCAAAGAGAAATAGGGTTATCAACAATTTTGGCAAAAACAATTGAAACCATCCTCTGGAGTAATACGGGTATACATCAAATGAGCAGATAGAGTTGATTCTATGACATTGCGACTGGTTATAAAGTTCACATCAATAATCTGAACAATCTCTTATGTCAACTGCGAGAACTCGAAATGCTCAAAGCTTAGCGGACACTTGAATTTCATGTTTCACAACATGGATGACAAATCGAGATGATCGTGGCCATATGAATCCATGGTATCCAACTCCCACCTCCAATTTTGAAGTGCAAGATGTTAGGACTTGTATACCATCCCGGCTACTAACCAGATGTCAACATGGACATTTCCATATCTTTGATATCTCTGCTCTGCGTGTCGAGCACCGGAGGCTTTGGCCCTTACGACGCACGACTCTATGGTCAACTTGAAAAATCTTCACTTTCCAAGACTCTAGATTCGACGTGCTCAAGGTGTAAGAATTTATACTGGAAGTGTGAGGACTTACCACATTTTAGTTGTTTGTGTATGGCTCAATCGGAAATAACTTGCTTCTTGAGACAAATCTCGAATTTGGCCCCAATCTCAGAGCGGATTTGAAAGTATTCCCAGTAGAACCGTAATGAATTAGAATTGACCAGATGATACATGCAACCAAAATATGAGAGTGTAGGAATATGAGATAGATTTGATCTTTGCGCAGGGTCAATTTTCAAAATTCTGTTAAAGCTCTTCTCATACTATGAACAGCGAGACATGCGTTTCTTGTGATTTCAGCACATGTTCATATCAAGCTTTCATCTCAGAAGAACAAGTCTAGAAACAAGCAAGTTCTTTTGAGTGAAAGTAGGATATTGCAAATATATTCTGATAAGAACCGAGTTTCGTTTCTTTTGGATCCCGTACCATTACCAATAACAACCCATGATATTTATAAATGTGAGCCTAAAAGCAACAACACAGGAAAAAAATTGGAAAACTTCATCTGAATTATTGCATATAATGATCGACTACGTTCAGTGACCGAATTTTAGCATCGTGTCCACTAAAAATCTCATTTGATATGTCCGTACTGTACTTTAGGGATTCCAACCGTTGTCCAAGATCTTCATTGTTAACGTCAAACATGAGCCTATGCTTTGTATTAGATATTTTAATAGTACTAGTAGTATCAACATATACAGATTGTTCTCTTCTTCGCTGAGTAACTTGAACTTATCTTTTCATGCACAACTATTTGTGGGGGAAAAACATAAATACTCGGGAAGAGATGTCGATGGCAAAGCAGAGATAAGATATTTTTAATTTTTTTACATCGTTCCGAAACTATGAAGAATTTACAAACAGTACTTGTGGATATAACAATTCCTAAACTCAGAACCTCAAGCAGATAGAAGTAATTATGTTATCAATACTGGAGACTCTGAGCCCCCATTCAAAAGAAGCAATTTTTGTAACATTTCTTTCAGTTCTCAACTGAAAGAAGACTAAAACATACAAGAGGAACATATTGAATATCTGCCGATAGAGCGAAGTTACTTTTTACTAGCAACCTAAATCCTATACATCCTACAAAATTTCATTCACAAAGAAATTCAATCACACACTAAAGAGTAACCCTATTATGTTCTTATTTTCTCTTCGTACAGCCCAAGTGCATGATATTGATGTTTGAATTATCATTTTGATACAAAGTGTATAAATATTACGCAGATTGATCTAGAGCCAATGTTATCATCATTTGGTATACAACACAAGTTGCAGATTATGTTATAGAAAATATCTATCTGGCTTTAACTCTTCTCTTCAATTTTCAGCGTAATAATTGCGCACCAATCCATAATGAACAGAAATCAAAACAACCAATCCCAAACTATGAAGATGATCACCCAAAAATGGAGAATATCATCTGTGACTTACTATTCTAAGCTACATTACAACTTGGAAAACCGAAGATGCCCATATACTATTTCGGGAGTAAAGTAGGATTGGCTATAAATTATCAAGGTCAGTTCATCATTGGTGGTTTTTGTAACATTTACGAAGGCTTAAAGCAAGTATGTTACTCTGTGATCTTTAGTCTGCCTCATCATTCATCTCCTACATACAATCAATCATGATGTCACTATAGATATATATGATAGACTGAATCAGATCAAAATATATTCCAAATATTGAATCACCTTATCAAACTAGAAGAAGTAACAGAATATTACTGTCAGTAATACAATTTTTTGAGTAATGAAATATAAGATTACGACCAGAAGCAAATTCCACCACGATATAAATAGTGCATCTTATCGTCATGTTCCCATGAGTTTCAAAATTAATAAAAAGAACACCCATTTGCACAAAATGGATGATTTAACATATCTGTATTCAGGTTACGTCATTGTGGATGGATATTACAGTGGAATTCCCATCTAAAACAAAGCTCTATAAATTTTTAAAACTAAAGAAAGAAATAAATTGGATTTGACACGTATTTTTCCAATTGTACTCTTCCAGAACACCACTGAAGGCGATGTCAACTTCTTAATATTTAAACTACAACATGGAGCTCACGTAGAGCTGCACATGATCACTTATTTGTATTGATACAAGGATACCAGGACAAGAACTAGGTTTCCTGAAGAAATGGAGCTCTCAACAGCAGCTGACCAAAGTGGGAAACAATGGCTTGAAAGTTGCGGGTATCAATTCTGGAAGGGAGATGGATCACTTTCCTGAACGCCGTAATTCCCCACAAGTTGTCTGGCTTCTTCGGGCATCCAGCGATCACCACCTTGCCGGCAATCTCACATTCAATTCGTAGCTCGTCCGCTTGAAGACCTGGAACAAGAGCGTAAATCTGATAATCATCTCTTGTCATGTACGCCGAGATCTTCACCCAGAAAACCGAATTATCATCATCTGCCACGGCTGCTTTGAGCTTCTTGATTGGCTTCGATCCGAGCAAGAACTCGCAATCCTCCAGGTGCTCTTGGCCTCCCTTTGCCATCCATGCTTTCCCCGGAGATGGTAGTGCTTTTCTTCTCCGGGTCCGGCTGTAGGTCCGGGTCTCACGGTCCTTCCCTCCCTTTTCCTCAATTTGGCGAGCCTCGCCAGTGTCCTCGCTGTAAAATTTGTAATCTCGCTCCTTCAGATTTGTACCGTCCTCCTCCCGTGCATGCTCATTCGCTTGAATCTCTTTTTCTTCGGAGTCCGTGGTCGGAGCAGCATGATCATGAGCGTGTTGTGTATCATTCTTCCATGTATCTCCTGAGGTATCTGAAGGAGATGTTTCTGTGTAACGGTGGTCACTTCTGCACTGCAAGAGGCGGTTGGAATTCGTATCTTGGTTCAAGTCACTTGCACATGGAGCTTGAGTCTTGTCCTCCTCCTTTGGTTCGGTATCGTCTCGAGCTCTCTTCTTCGGAATCAATGCACTTCGTTTTCTTCGCTCCGGAAAAGGAAATGAATGATCGGATTCCGGAGTCTGGTGCATTTCAGTCTGAAATGCACCAGACTGACATCGCTCGTACTCCAACAGTGCCTTGGCATAGAATTGGCGGAATGTGAAGGAGAGACTGGTACAAGTTTTGGGAGGATCAAAACTTTGCCCGACGCGTTTCCACAATTTCTTCGAACAGACCGCTTGGTATCCTCCCAATGTCGTCACTTCTCGCCAAAGTTTCAACAAATCCACATTCTCTCCGTAAAACTTGGGCATTCTGAACTCCAAATTTTTCTCGCGGAAAAAGTTACCCACCGTTTCGACAAAAGCGTCATTCTCCTGTTCTTTCGTCACAGCCACTTCCGTTTGAACAACCGCACAGTGAGATCCATCGTGATTCTTGTTTCCACCCCTTTCTTGATCGATTTGTTCATCCTCGTTCACCTCCATCACCGCGTCTTGGGAATCCACCTCCGGGTCCATGTTACCGGTGCTTGACCTTCCCAACTTGAGGATCATCAAATTCAGAGGATCAATGAAATTGTGGAAGAGCTCCGAAGCATATATCATAGCCCACGTCCTGTCCAGTCTCAGGACTCTAGGGTGCTCGAGTCACACTTGGAAGATGACGACCTATCATGGCCTTCGCCCTTAATCCCGTGAGGTGCTAGCATGGCATCCCTTCTTCATCTAGTGGCCAACATGCCAATTGCCACAACAACTCTGACATCGCTCACATATGCGGGTCTCACGTCTTCAGATGTGAGATGTGGGACAGATCACGGGAAATCCCCCGATCGTATGAAGTGAAAGATAAGGCACTAGAATCGTGCATGGACTCCAATGGAAGGAGATTACTGATAACCTATAGGGCCTTTGACACTGCGAGAAGAGCTAGCAAGGCACCTCCTCCGCAAATAGTTGTCAAATGTGCCAGTTGCAATGGTGAAGGTCATGACATCCTCGACATCTTTAGATGCGAGGATTTATCACGGGAGGAAGATGAGGGAGTCCGAACGCAGATGACCGAATAAACATGGTCGGATTTGACTCCACCATGTCATTTGACCTTGAAGGATAAAACAAACTGATCGTCTGAACTTTGGGAGATATTTAGGGTGCAGAAAGGAACTGAAATCTTTTGACGTCAGACATCAAAACTGCATACGACTTATGACTAATGGCAGGCTTAGGAAGAGCTTAAAAAATTTCTATGGTGAAAGAGATGAGCCGAACAATCTTCAAAGCACGAGACCATCAGAATTAATATTTCTGACTAAGAGCACCTTCGATGCAACATCCTGATTTTCGTCGGAGTAGAGAATGCCATTCTTCCTGGCCAGGGCAGTCGAGATTCTCAAATCAAGAAAGCTAGGAAGAGTCCAATTGACGCACATGGACTTCACACGATCACTCCCAGTTTCGACTTGCATCATTCACGAGTATCCGAGATGCTATCTATCTGCACAGTCCACCACTCTTGCAAATTGAATGCCGAGCCAGTCCAACATTGCGCCCCTCCCTCCATCTCCAAGTCTAGCCATTCGTTTCTTCCTCTTGCTCGAGAGCTCTTTGAGAAGTGAGGGACACTTCTTGACTCGAGAGATGTTCAAGTCGAGGAATCGAATGGTCTGCCATCGTCTGCAATCAGTGAAGGACTCTCTGCATCATGTTTCTCCTTCTCGTCATCTTTATCGACCGTACAAAAAATCACCCTTCTCTGGATACTTTCATAATTTCAAGCATATGAGACCCATCCTTGGATTACAATAAAAATATAAAATATATCTTCAATCAAAATTCCACTTTGTTGTTTTGCGCTCTGAACTTTTATCGTTGTTGCTACAATTCCAAATCTCAGGAAACACTTGCAAACTATTTTCTACCTAAAAGTTATTCAATTTTATGATAATCTTGAATTGATATTGACCATTTAATATTTTGCAAGCGCAAAGTCTCAGATAAAATATGTACGGTAACGATTCTCCATGCAATTTCGGATTTTCTGTTATAGTTTTCATTCGTGGTGTCCAGTGCTAGCTATAAGATATTGATCTTATAGCTAGCACTCGATATCTTATATTGAGTTTGGTATCAGTGATGTGGATCATTCATGAAAATGTTATGAAAACTAAGACTAGGAATCAAAATTCCTAGTTCTGGAAAATCTGAGAATGATATGGTAGAATTCTTCTGAGTTATTTGATACTTTCCAAACTGAATATTATACCTATATTATAAACATTTCAGATCTTTCTACTGCATCATTTAGTTTTTGAATAATAAAGGAATGTACAAATAAGTTTACAGTCATATTCTTCAATAATGATTAGAAAAAACCAGGGTACTATCTTTCCTCAAAATTTTTACTTCTCTTTATCCGTCAAGCAATATTTAATATATATCCGTCAAGCTATATGAAATTTTGTGTAAGAGCCAAATGTTTGACTATCTTTGAAGGTAAACGCAAAGTTTAAAGGAGTCAAAGCACATAAAATTAGTTATGTTCTCGACAATATTATCAAAAAATAGCTTTCATTACGGATTATATGGCTGTGCATAATTCTTCAAAATTGAATCAAATACAGTGCTTAATGATTCTGTGAAAACGACATGACGTACTACAACTAACGTTGAAACTCGAAGTTATTATAAACCTTACCTCGTAACCGACTTTGAAATCTTTGAAAAGCAATCTGGTGACAATAATGTTAAAGCAAGTGACGGGAGATATAATATAAAAAATTGTTGTAATTTAAAAAAAATTTAGAGCCATAAATATCGTATATTCTAGAAAAGTTATCCGAACTCGTGATACTTATCCTGTTGCAACTACTCATGAGGATATGACTAGATCTAGCAGATCTATTTTGGGTGAGTAAGAAGAACAACTGGTCTTCAGACCCAAATGTGGCGTTTCATTTTATCCGTCTGAGCATCCAGAATGGAAGAATATGGTGGCTTCGATTCAGAATGAGGATGTGAGTAATTTTCTTGTATGCCTGTAAAGAACACATGAGCATGATGATAGATAATATACAATTCTCGTGTCTATGATAATTGTCTGAGGCTCAATTACTATACAATGGCAGAAGAATCCCAGCGGAGAATTCCTGCCTCGTCTGATCAGATCGCTGTTTGCTTGAAGCCCGATGTTCTCAATATGACCACATTACATGTATGCAAATGTTTCAAGAATGAAATGCAATCTAATGGTATGCTATCTCACATCTCTGTTCATTTCACACCTCTAAAGAAATGAAACCCAATTGAAACCAAGAATTCCATCAGACACTGGGACAACAGAATTGTTGAGATAGAGTATGATCAAGGGAACTGCTAGAAGTTTCAACATCTACTTGGCACTGGAATTAAGTTACACACTGACAACCAGAGAAGCAGGTATGTGCTTTATTCCAGTGATTGATAAATGAAACAAGTTGAATGAGATTCAGTTTCAGACCCGAAAAGGTGACAGTCTAACTTGTCAATTGGTTACGATATTCTATACAGTTGGCATCCACCTTCCAAATTTAGTGGAAAAACAATTTTGACTCACCACATTGAAGACATCTATATCGTGTATCACATGAATGATTCCCCACGAATCCAACCATAGTAAAATCTTGATATCTACAAAATAAGACCCAGTGAGCTCTAAATTGTTAATCTAATTCTCAATCAAACCGACTAAAATTGACTTCACCCGACCATCGATAAAACTATTATGAGAGAAACTTAACTTCTCAACTTACACAAGTTGTTCATTTGTGATTTCAACCTATAAGTTCGATTCAAATTCAAATCTAACATTCTAATTGGATATCTTTATGATGAATTTGTAAGTACTTCTAAATTCTGTATAATATTTGATTCAAGTGTACGTAAAATTTTTAATTTGAATCTTATGATGTGAATGATGGTGATAAATCTTTGTGCTTCTTCAACGTAGCCTTCCATAGGTTCAATTGGTTGATTTATAATTCTAAAATTTTTGGTTGATTTATAACTTGAGTATCATCTAATTCATATTCTTCATTTAAAAATTTTTCAAAAAGTATACTACTATTTTAGGAGAATTATATATATCAGATTTGATCTATTTTGTGAAGATTTAGTGTTATTAATTTATCTGTATCATACAAAAATTGAAAAAATGAAAATGAATTAATTCATTGAAATAATTTTGATAATATATTCATATCATTTAAATGTTTCATCAATCTAGAAAGTATCAAAGATTCATCACTATGTATGATTACATATATATGATGCATAATACATTTTTCTATTTGCTTTAACCAGATAGATGAATGAGAACTGTTTTTTCAAATAAATGATTCCGTAAATGATTTTTTATTTTTCATTCACCAGATAATGCACTACTTGTGAAAAAAATCACAGCAAAATATATAAGATGATTATGAATTTGATTTTGTTGTATATGCACAACTTCAGATGTCCTTCAGAGGTTAATAGATATGGCTCATTTAGAGAACACAAACTATAGGAAAAAATTTGTCGTTAGACTAGTCTGACCTTCTACAACCATGACAATAATATGTGAAAAATCACTTTGATATTTGCAGGAGTGGTTGAATGTATTACATTATCTGGACTCGTGGATCGAAACCCTAGAAAAGATCAATGACCCATTGGGGTTTCATAGAGAGAAACAACAAGATGCGTGAGATTGTACAGAGTACAGGACACAACGGACAAGGCCAGTGGCCATCGGCTCCTGTCACACTTTATGTGGCAATCCACGACACGTAATGTTGCTGACTTTAATCGACATTCTTATGAGCAAGTGAAGCAAGTGGCACTCGGGCTCAGGCTATGGACGCCACTAATTCAGGGATCGTAGAGGAAAGGTGAAGAAGCCTTATCCGTTTGTGAGTCGAAGATGGCATGCCCAAGATTGTGACTCTTGTATCCCAAAGAGGAGATAATTTGAGGAGGGGGAAGTGGATCAAGCGACTTGCAATCTCAATCGGGGTTTCGTGTGGAAAGTCAAGGTGTTCTCTTGGAAGGAAGTTTTCTTGGCAGGAATTTTGGTCTTGCAAGATTTTGTGAGAATTTCGCTCAAGGAGGATGCTTCAATCCTCGTGACAAACCTTCTTTTCGAGCCTTTGCGTGGCACAAGTAAGCTTGTTGAGTTTGTGCGTCGAGTTTTGTTTCTAGGCCACGCTTCTCAAGACTGTCTGATGCTGGGGACAGTGGTGGATGCCTTTGCCAAAGAGACCACGAAGAAGACGAAGCTGGAATTGAGGTACACAACAATGTCTCACTTTGTGTCGAATTTGAAAAAGTCCCTAGGTTTACCCAAGCGTCAAATGCTAAATCTAGGCCAGGAGTTCAAACATGGCATAATCCAATCTAGAGCTCCGATATACTCCGATGTTAAAATCAAAACTTGAGGGTTTAGACTTCACAAACTAGTTCAAAGATTTTGACAACTCTAACTCTTACAATCAAACGTACAGTTATTTTGAACTTGGATGGCTAAAATCCTTCATTTATGATTCGGCGTATGTAGATGGTAGAAACTCTTTATGTTTACTTTTAAAGTAAAAGGTTTGCGTAGCAGGATATATTGTAAGAGATTGAAATACGTCTAGATCAGGTCCTTTTGCGAGATAATTTAAACGCTGGTTGCAGATATATAGACTCCACACAGTTTACGATGAAGACAGATCAACGGAAATAACATTAAATCTATGGAGTTGAAGTTGCTAATGTGCATGTTAGAAATGTTAATGTTTTAATGTCTTAGTTAGTATTCGCTGATGACTAAAGTGCAAATACTGGCATCCCTTTGTTTCCAGTATCGGAAGAGAATAGCAGTGATCGTCCGAATGAATTCAAGGAACTTGAGGATACCTCACGTCAAGTGTAGGATCCATGAAGTTGTCTGATGCTATAAATGTTGCACTGTTAGATTATTCTGAAGCGCAGTTTGGCATCTTCTACGGTACTTGACAACAACGTCACCTCAGAGTTGCACAGTCGGGACAGCGCATCGCTATCTCCCATCTGAAGTTATGGCCAAAGCTTGCTCAAATTTTCCCACTGTCTATGAGAAGTACACATCAGCCGATTGCTCGCAGTATAGCTCTACATTTTTCACCATTTTGGGATCTACCGTACTTTCTATGCTGATTCTTACCGGTCTGGTCCGACTCATCTCCTGCATGAGACGCAGACAGTTTCCTAGATACGTAATTCGATCTTCTGAGAGTTTAAGTTTACCCTCGGACGGTATAACCATAGATGATGATATCCAGCTACACACTGCTGGTGCAGGATCTGGTATGGTGAAGGGGAAAAGCTCTGAGGATGTGAAGTGCGTTATCATGGCTGGTGAAGAAAAGCCCATGTTTCTTGCACATCCGAATCCTATTACCAGTTACAATTGTTGAACTTCAAGCAAAAGTGAAAACAATAAAACAGCTTTAAGAGTCGGATATGGTGAGCTGATTCACCAAAGGTCACTGAGATTTATTCCTTTTGTCATATATTCATCACGTACATTCATTGATATCATCAGACGTGCTCATGATTTTCATCATTAGCCAATAGCTAGAATCAGTTCCCTCTGTCGATTCTTTGGAGTTCTTTTAATGTATGTAAATAGATTCCTTATAGAAAGTTCGAATCAATTGTGACTTGAAAGCTTATCAGATTTCAAATTTCTTCAACGTCTATCTCTCTTTGCCCACTCCTTCCAAATGAATAGGCAAGAGGAAATACAAGTTGAACAAAAGAACCGAGAAGACAAGAGAGCTGGAAGTCTTTTTGACAGGGGATGTTTGTATGTGCACATATGTTGGAAGTCAATTTACGGCTGCATATATTTTGGTATGAGATTCTTGACGAAGCACATATAACTCAATCAAAAACCATTCCTAATATATAACGGACGGGGTCCTATAAACTAACGGTGGGTGCATTGTGCTGCAACTTGTTTTGCATCAAGAATACCTGTTTCCCGATCGCATTAGACTCTCTCCAATTTTCCCTCCACTTAAATCGGTGACAAGGATTTGTATTCGAAGTACCCTACACATAACTGAAGGTTTCAAGGTTCTTCGGTCATGTAATGGAGCTCAAACGGACCTTGGATTTCATTCATTCAAAACAAGCAAGAAGAGAATCACATCTCATATGGGTCGAATTTTCGTCCGAGAGCTTTATGTGGGTCAGAGTTCTGTTGATTCTTGCCTTTCAATCCGCGACGGAAGCACGCGTTCTCCCAATATTCTTCTAAGTTGAACGCACTTCGTAGGGTTTGCTAGCGAACGTTTCGTGTGCATGAGCAACGCGTCTCCGCGCTTTCTTGATGATGGCCTAATCGTAACTGCCTATGGTTCGGATGACAGCTAAGGTGTGGATCAGAAGTAATAAATCCATCATTCGTCTCAAAGAATACAAGCGTTCCGCGAGCGAGCATCAGGAGCAGAGGCCCAGTTCATCCAAATAATTGAGTTCAATGACTCATGGTGAGTGTTACTGCTCTTGTATTCTGGTCGATTTATTCACTCGCTCAACATTTCATATAATCATTCAATCCATGGAGTCTCAATTTCAGCATACCTACCATCTCTTGTAACATGAAGAGCAGTAAGAAGTACCACAATTGGCAAACTTTGTCTGACCTAGTTTCTTTGCCCGCTAGATTGGCTTGATGCTCTCTAGACCTTTGGAAGCAATATAAAGAGAGAGGAAGTTGACGATAAATCAACGTGGGCAACAACATTATATTTCCATAACTTCGAGTAGTGTATCTCGAAGCGGGATAGAAATTGTAGACTTTACGTCTTAATTCGCGCGTTTTCTCGTCTTATTTGATGACTCGCAACATGGTTTGGAACGCTTGAAAGTACACTTCACGTTGCATTGTCCAGCATCCTCGGCTCATGCTACATATATCCCGCAAATCCAATCTCAGAAATTTAATCGGCGCTCTAATGATCAATCTCGTTCTTAGCATGTAAGCTTCGCCTCATGTTCTAGATCCCGACGTCTAACAAAAGAATCAATCGAATCCTTTGTTCCGTAATATGGTGGGATAACATTCAAATTGGTGCGATATCATCATATTCTAAGTTTCATTGTCTGGGAATTGTCAGAATGGTGACTTATATTTCAAACCTTGCGACGACATCCGTGGAACACACCAAACTCGACTTTGACGCCCACAAGATTCTGAATTACGTAAGTTCCTTTCCCTTGGACTTGAAACGTAATCTTTGACAGCTGATTCACGGCAGCAAAATTAGAATCTAACATTGCCACTTCCATGCATGCATTTAGGTACCATCACTTAGCTTATGAGCCGCAAGAAGTGGGCTCCTGAAGTGCATTGTATTGTCAGTTGGAGAACTGCGATAGAAATAGAGCACTGGGGAACTGCAATCGAATTAGTCTATTGCAGTCTCGACCCTAGTCGCTTACACCTACTCGCGTAAGATAACTGATTAACTTTCACCAAAATGTCAACTTCATGACCTCACCCACCTGCAGTTCCAAACTTTTAGCATGTCGTTTGAATAGAAATCCTTCCAATATTGAAATTTCCGTCTTTCATTTGTTATGGAACCAGCGTAGGTCAGAATTCTCCGCTCCTAGGTTTTTATTTCTTATCGAGGCACAGCATGGGAAGCAAGGCATGTTTCTCGGGAATGGAGTGATTCAAGTTAATCTACTTATGCCAAGGTATAAATCAGGGCCATAGTACATCCGTTTAAGTCATGTTCAGAATCATTTTGCTGGAGTAGACGCGGAACTGAGAGTGGTTGCTCATGTTTTTCAACTGTATGTCCATTCCACTCATTTGTGCCACCTTCTCAGTGTATTTTCAGATACTATTGATTAGCCAGTGGGTTAAAATAGCTTCTAATGTGGTGTAGGGTTGCACAAAGGTTAATTACTTTAGGCAGACAAGAAATCCAGAGATTCAGTATTTTCTGACATCGTAGGCGAAGAGTCTTTTTAGCTAATATCGAATTGCGAAGAATTTTGATTAGGCTAGCGCACTTGGTGGACTACCAAATGTTAATATAATTTTTTTTAATGTGAGTAAAGAAAAATATTCTAGGGCCTCCATACCAATTCGATAGTGATTTGTCTTTGAACCTTCTGCAGTTCTTATTAGTGAATCCCATTATTAGGAGGAACTCCAATGATTAACATAAACGGGACATAATTAATAGCAATTAGCTGTTGATAAGGTTAACGCATGCTATTGACGGCAAGGCTTGCGATGTGATGGACAACAGGAATTCTGTGAGGATCGACGGTCGATTCAAGCTAGCCAAGAACTGCAGGCACAAACGAAACCAAGGTTAACGCGCTGCAGCAAGCATGGGTCTCAGGTGGAGATCTACGATGGAGATTTTGAAGGAAAGGGAGGCTGAGTTGATCAAGTTGTCTCTGAAGTTGATGATTCAGAAGCACACACTAAGTGGAGAAGATTTCGACCTCGTGTGTGAGGCGCTTGCTGATGCCGAAGAGAAGTTGGCTGAAACAATGTGGGACTTGAAACTGGAATGGGATCGTCGAGCTAGAAATGAATATGAGTCAGACTAAAGAGTCGTTTGTGTGTGCCTACTACATGATAGAACATGAACACTCTGGTTGCAATCATCAGATAATGACTACTGCCGTACATCTATGTTCAATGTACTCTGAATTTCGTCACTGAAGGGAAAATCAGTCTATACACATTTGGATTTAAGCTCGTACAATGAGAAGGTGACAACTTACGCTGAGTTCCTGGGTTGAGCTCACGGGTACTTTGTCCCCTTGGTAGTTTTCATCCTGACTCCAAGATACTTATCCGGAAAGTAATGTTTTTGAAATTCTATGCATTATTGATGGTCCGTCCATTCATGATTAAGTGCTCGCATCCAGCTTAGCAAAATATGGCAATTCATTCTGAGAAAAGCAGTATTGTCAGACATTGAAGACGGAAAATGTTTTCGGGGAATATCGAACTGCAAAGGATGTTGATTAGGCAAGCGCACTTTCCAAAAGTATATGACTTGAAAAGTATTATGATTTTATCACTGTTCTCGTGAGCACAGACAACATTTTGCCTCTTAGTAAACTCTTGGAAACGAGGTTCAGAGCCTGTACCAGAATCGCCTTGGTCTGAACACAATTTTGTCGATCTGCACTCAGGGGAATCCATTTGCGAATGAATGTCGATACAAAAGCTGGAATTTCTTCAGCTACTGCCAATTGGGTGAAGCTTATGATTTCAAAATGACTACAGGTGCATTCAATCTGCCGAATCCGGAATCGCTTAAGGTATTCTTGAAACGGAATGGAATGGAATGCGGACCTCCTGAATTTGATATGATCTACCATCAAAAAGTTCAGCTTCTTGTGTGGAAATTGAAAATCCTCATCTATGTCAACGATGCACTGCCAAATTGATGCCTAGCGCGATTGACCAAATTCTCTGAGGTAACCACTTATCGACTCGCAGACTTCACTCCAGGTTCGTAAGAATCTTGTAAGTCTGCAGCAGGAGTATATCTCGCACCCTCCGAAGGAAGAGTGAATACGACCAAAAAGTCAAGCCATGGCGAAGCACGTGCCAGCACGCAAAAGCTAGCTCTGATTTGCTCTTCAGCAAATCAGGTTCCAAACATGCGAGTAAACTTGACATTGACATTGATAGGATGCTTGGGATTATTTTCCCGCTGTCTTCCACAAAGAGCACCGCCTTCGTCTCCACGATCGTGCTCTCATCTCAGCACGTTGCATTCAGCTTGAACCTGATACACTGATTGCCAATGTGAATCCGTGGATGGCAGTCTGCTATGTCATATGATTACGCGTCAAGAGTAGACGGAGAGCATGTTCACGTTTATTCAGCGTCTTACGTCCAAGCATCTGTAGAAGGCATTAAAAACCACATGGTAGATGCAAATTACTGTACTATAATCACTATGTTGTATAAATGATATGTATATCATTTTATAATGAACAATCGAAATATTCATATTAGTCATTAACATCCAATAGCTTTTGCAGATTCTATCGCCTACTTGGTACACTTGTTAATAATTTATTAGTAAAATATTATGAATAAAAAATCCAAACTCCCAATGAGTTTTATATGTTTTCACAACGTAGTGGCTCCAGTGCATGTAAGGAGATCTTTTTGGTCGTCCATCATCATGAATATGACAAACTTGCCGAAAGCCAGTAATCTTTCCTTCGAAAGTAATTAGGCTACTTCTCTACTGTCTGCTATTTGTAGTTTAAAGATCAAACTATAACTTATCAAATAGTTTCTTAGCTATTTACATTCCAACTTACGTGAATTGTACACGTTTTCAGGTAAAGCTATGTACTATGGTCATCTTGACGATGTCTCGTGTATTAACGGATACGCTATGCAACATCTATGCAACAACTCATCTCACAGCATTATTTCGTAGTGTTCGTAAACAGATCAGCAACAACAAATGATTTCCG